AAAACTCCACCAAGCATACAGGCTCGGCGGCACAAGTTCTCCTTCTCTTCTTCCACGCATCCTCAGCTTTCCCTTTGTATCACTACCAGCTTAGCATGTGATCACCTACTCTATCCACTACCTACCCCAGCACATACTATGCCCATGTATAATGCTGCAGAGCAGAGTATAATGTTGCGACAAGAGATGCCTGAACGTAGAATGTAGTATGCTGAGGCTATGCCTGGTGACCACCAGGCATGTCTCTTGCCATACCCCACCTTTCTACAGCCTTCCTCCTCCTCCCAGAATCTCCCATCCACATGCCACCTTCTTCTTCAGCCGCCCAGCCCACCTATGCCTGGTGCTGTCTGTCTGTGGCATACTGCATAGCCACACGGGCCTACAGGGCCCGTCCCGCACTTTCAGCCTAAAAGCCTAAGAAATAGGGCTTACAGGCCCCGGTCGTTTCAGCCTGAAACTGAAAACAAGGGCCTGCAGGCCCTATTCCGTTTTCAGCCTATTTCTGGGCCTGAAAGGCTTTTCAGCCTGAAACAGAGGGCCATTTTCAGGCCCTCATTGTTTCGACCTGCCCTAAGACTCAGGCACGAAAACTGGGTTTTGGGAACAGGCTATTTCTGGCCTGTTCCCCACGCCAGCTCGAGCAGGAGCCGCAGCTGCAGCCCCTGGCTCCCTGCGACATTGGCAAGAGCAGCCTCCTGGACTGCTCGCCTGCAGTCAGGAGGCAGACCCGAGTAGTACATAGGATAGTCCCATGCACTTCACGGGTAGGTAGTTGGACAGTAGTCAGGGTAGTCTTCAGGATAGCGGAGCAGCACTCAGGAGGAGCGCTGCCCAGGGCAGCTTAGCGCTAGTGTAGTCTTCAGCGCTGGGCACCATAGCTGTAGTCTTCAGCGCTGGGCGCTATAGCAGTAGTAGTAGTAGTGATATAGGAGGGAGATGACTGGCGGAGGCCAGTGGTACTTACCTGTGGCGCCATCCCTCCAGCTCCATCTTCGAGGTACCTGCATCACAGCGCCACCTTCACAGGTTAGTACTGGACTGAGAGAGAGAGAGATCTCTTCTTCTTCCTCTTCTAAGTCCATTTCTTCTTCCCCTCTCGCTGCCTACTTCTCAGTATCTGTGGACTACGAGAGAGAGATATGACCTGAGACTTGACGACATTGGATACAGACTCGACATTTGGGATTCAGACATTTTGACGAGGGACTATTTGGGCCTGTGCCGAAGACTTGGTGTTGACGACATTCCCATCTTCCCCTCCTCTTCGTCTAACCCCCCTCTTCTTCGTCTGTGTATGTGTGGGGCTGGCGCAGTCTTCCTGTGTGAAGCGCAAGACCCCTTTCACACCCTGGGACGATGATGATGATGTATGTTCAGAGCTGCATTGCAACATTGATTGTTCGGATCACTGGTATCTAAGTCTTCCGCTGTGTTATCTTGTACTTTGTATTGAGAGGTCGGTTCTTGTTCTGGTCTGCACGTTACAGTATGCAACACTGTCCTCGTAGATGCTTGCTGCTTGTGTCTGATTCTCAAGCACAGCAGCATCTAGGAAAATCCGTGATCTGGGAAGGACGATGGGCACCGAAGCGGGTGTGGCATGCCGTGATCCCAACCACCTGACGGTACCCAGACGAGGTCGCCCAACCGGTTTGACCCTGCCTTTTCCAAAATTGGTCGGGCCCGACTTTCTGCAGGCTGGGCCTTCACGTAGGGCCCTTCCACATTTGCACAGTCGGGCTTGCACTCACGACCCTGCTGCTTTTGCATCTGGGAAGCCCTCACAGCCCCACAATGACCGGTGTTTAAACTTTTCAAGATTCTACTTCATCTTGCCTGTGTGATCATCTACGGTGTTYGAACGGCTTGCGCTCAGTTATTTCAACTTATTTGTAGCAATCCTTGGACAATGGGAAATTGCATCAGTTGTGTCGCATACCGTAAAGGTGCAGACCAGAACAAGAACCGACCTCTCTTCACATAGTACAAGATAGCGCAGCGGAAGGCTAATATACCAATGATCCGAACAATCGATGTTGCAATGCAGACCAAACATACATCATCATCATTCCATGGTGTGAAGGGGCCTGGCGCTCACACAGGAAGTATGCCCCAGTCCCCAACCATACACAGACGAAGAAGAGGGGAAGATGTGAATGTCGTCAACACCAAGTCTTTGGTACAGGTCCCAAATAATCCCTCGTCCAATGTCTCAATCCCAATGTGGAGTCTGGATCCAAATGTCGTCAAGTCCCAAAGTCACCAATCTCTCTCTCTCTCGTAGTCTGCACATACTGAGAAGTTAGGTGGCAAGAGGGTGAGGGAGAGATGGTGGACTTAGAAGAGGAAGAAGAACTCTCTCTCTCTCTCAGTCCGGTACTAACCTGTGAAGGTGGCGCCTTGTTGCAGGTACATCGAAGACGAAGCTGGAGCTATGGCGCCACATGTAAGTCTCCCTGGCCTCCGCGAACCATCTCTCTCTCTTCAACGCTACTCTAGCTCCTAATAGCGCCCAGCGCTGAAGGCTACTGCTAAGGCTACTACTACTACTGCAGCGCTCCTCCAGAGTGCTGCTGCCGAAATCCTGAAGACTGCCTCCTGCCTCCTGCACGTGAAGCGCCTGGGAAGTCCCTATGAACTACCTTGTCCACTGCCTGCAGCCTGTAGGGCGGGCCAGTCTTATATAGTGCTGGCCCGTCCAAGAGGCTGCTCTTACCAATGACAAAACGTGTCAGACCCTTGAGTTGAAGTTCAAACAAAGGTTGTCTTGAAAACAGGCCAAAAATGGCCTGTGCTAAAACCCTGGTCTGGTGCCTAAGTTTCAGGGCAGGTCGACTTTATGAGGGCCTGAAAATGGCCCTCGTTTTCAGGCTTTTAGGCTGAAACGACACAGGGCCTGTAGGCCCTCGTTTTCAGGCTTTTAGACTGAAACGACACAGGGCCTGTAGGCCCTCGTTTTCAGGCTTTTAGGTTGAAACGACACAGGGCCTGTAGGCCCTTGTTTCAGGCTTTTAGGCTGAAACAACACAGGGCCTGTAGGGCCCTGAATTTCCGTCTGGTCGAGCCTTGCAGGCCCGTGTGGCTGCGCAGTATGCCACAGTTGTGTACAATTTTGTTTTTTTCAGAGCTGCAAACCTGGTAGGACCGGGGGCCCCTCCCCCAACCCGAACCGGACCGGTCCTACCGGCCGGTCGACTGGTCCGGTTTCCCCTCCGGTTGGCTGTAGCACATCTTTTTTCTTTTTTTTCTTTTTTTTTCTTTTTTTTTTTTAAGCCCAGGGTGTTGTTGAGGCCAAGGACTAGACCCACGGTGATCACTGGCAGCGGCAGCCAGTGGTTGTCCTGACAGGATAGGCCACATTCCCTACCGTTTCCCACGTTAATGCTCCCAGCGCACCCCCTATCCCAACTATCCTACCTCAGTGTGACCAGCACTCAGGACCATCACCCTACCAGTATCGAGGGCAACTTGGACCAGACAGCAGTGACAAGCACCCCCTAACACTATAACCCCCACCCCCCTTTTCAAA